TATAGAACGACTAAATGCATTATTATTCTCATGACTTCTGGCCTTCTAGCAAAACGAATTATATGTAAAAACTAGTAAAATCAGAAGATACACGATCTATTTAATATGTTGATGTGAATGACATTCACTATATAGGCCTACCTTATACATGTACACTTGTTTAATACCGGATTCACCAATTTTAAATAAACTATTTTATTTTCCAATTACAAGTACATGAATCGGAATTTTTTTTTCTTGCTATGCAATATTACGAGATTATGAGTTGGAGTTTTTTTTTTTTTTTCGCCTCAGACATGCAATTTACAGCGTCAGTTTGTTTTGCATGTTCGCTTTAGTACTACAGTTTTCATCATCGGCTTGTGAGGAATGATACAGATTTACAACAGTAATACTCCTTTCTTACATGTAGTCTACTTTCATTCATTTAAGATGAAATACAAAACGTCTAATTACAATTTAAAAAAAAAAAAAACAACCTGAAAATGCAAATGTGTTATCAGGGCGATTAGCAAATCCACAACTTATAATAAAATTTATTGTTTAACAAAAAGAATAATTAAAGTTAATAAGGTCTTGAGTTTTGTTTATTATTCAAATTTTAAACTCATATTTAAAGTATATAGCTAAGCTTAATATTATAACAATGTATGTATAATTATACACTGTTAAATTAAAACTGTAAAGAACCTGTTATCTATTTATATCTTCACGTCACTTTTCTATTCTTCCATTGGCTCAGAGAAATCTAGTTCTAAGTTGTTTCCCTTTAATTTCATTTTCTATTTATACATGGGGGATAACCAGTGTTTCTTCCAGACTTTTTTTCCGGGGGGTGGGTGGCACTTGATATTTTCGGGGGGGGGGGGGGGGGGGACGACGACGACGACGGGGGACGGACATTTTCCTTGGGGGGGGGGGGGGGGCGGAAACTGGTAAAAGTATGTTTTCTATAAATTCCATCTCGTTCGGGGGGGGGGGGGGCGGCAGAGCGCCCCCCCCCCCCGAAGAAACTCTGGGGATAACTAGTTGTCATGTCACAAAATGCACCGTCCGTTAGTTAGGGGTCTTGTATAAACAAAACCATGTTGTGCCAATTTTAGTCACTCTACAGCTAGTTAGGTCTATAATAACTTACATAATACGTCAACCGATTTCTAAAAACTCTAAATGCTTATCACGATACCATTTCGGAACCGCACATCTTTTTTTTTTTGTAAACAAACTAATAATAGTATTCAGAATGTACTTTTTATACTGGGTAATGATTAGGTTTATGCCAATTTAGCCAAAGTCTTTGAATTATTTTTGACATTAAAATTAATAACCGTTTGACTAGCTCGCCCCCCCCCCTCCCCTTCCCCATCATCTTCATTGGTATTAACCCCCCCCCCCCCCATTCGTCATTCGCTCTCGATGTCCATTAACAATTCCATACCAGCGTATAAAGTGTTTGTTGTTGATGTTTTAATCAACACTTCCGGGTCACCGCGCTTTAGTCTAGACGTGACGCGTCACTTCAGCTACAACATCCGGGTCGCTTTGTAAAAGATGCGCAGTCCCCTAACAACCTTTGGCGGGTGAATAATTAAACAGGGGGTCGTTGTTTTCTTGATTACATTAATTAATCAGTAACTACCTGCGGATCGATGGCACATCGATTAATGAGTGATTATTTGATGATTGGTAGCATGATGCCTTGAACATCAGATCTTGAGAAGCCCACACCATGCGACATTAATTTCTAAAAAATAATGGGAAATGATAGTCAATAGGCCAGGTGAAGTAGAGTTCACCTGTTTGTAACCTTGGCGTATGAAAGGATAGTGTGGTTACCCTTTGCCACGCCGTCTTCATTTTCCATAAGGTTAGTTACTAATAATAGCTGGGTGGGCTCAGAGACGTTATAATATTGGTCTTCATGCCGGAAAAAGTGACAATGAATGTTGATATAAAAATAATTTGACCATAGCTAATCCTAAACCTAACTCTTTGGAATGCTGCAATAGTTAAACGCCGTGTTTAATATGGATATGCTTTCTTTTGGTAGGACTATCTTGGAGGACTGACATGAAAATCGCCAGTGATCAGCAAAAAGTGGAAAGAGCTTTTTATGTGGCCAACCCATATGTCTTGGGCATAAAAGGAAGAAAAGAAAACGATGATACCTTCTGCCTTCTTCTTCGTTCTTAAATTTGTTATGTTGGAAGGTGTTTTTCCCCCCAACGTGTTATACGCCATTGAGGCCATTGACTCCGATTTCAGCCTGCTTTTCTTTTTGGATTTGTTTCCATAGCCTTTGTCCAACCAAGAACAAACTACAAGGCAGCAGTTGTTTGATTTTGAAGTTGTCTCTCCTAGAAGTGCTGCTGTCGCCAGCTATCGAGCCTCATTTGTCAGGGGTTTCGAACTCGAGTCTTTCGTTTAAACAACCATGAGCTTTACCGACGCGACCACGCCGACGCCTCTTTAATTTGAACGTGTTCCAATAAATAAACCA